GAGCCTCTACTAATTTGGTCTCTTAGTTTTGTTCATTCTCTCTTTAATTGATGGCTCTAAATTGAGCCTATCTTTCCCTCTATTTTTTTTTTTTTACCTTCCATTGTCTACTTTAATTTGCACATACATTTGTTCCAGTTTTTATTACAATATATTAAAATTAGGGTTCCTTGAGGCAGACCCTTTTTCATTTGTTCTTTGTAGCATTTGTATTAATGGAGAAATAGGAAAGGGAGAAAAGAAAAACACTCAATCCCAAGCCTTTTCTTTTAGTTATTTAGTCCATTCAATAAATATTTATTGAATATGTTCTATGTGTCAGGTTACTCAGAACACAGCATTATGGCCCCAGTTTAGTTGAGAAGATAGACATTAAATAACTATATAAATACTTAAAATAATATTAATTGATATGAATAATTGTTGGTTCTTAGGAACAGTTTGTAGTCCACTCCTACAGTTTTATAGTCCAGCGGTGCAGATTGGGGAGATCAGGAAAAATCATACATAAGAGGGAAGAACAACAACTTTAAAATAATAATATGTCAGCATAGTTTTAAATGTTACTGTGGATGCTCCTTTCTACTCAATTGACATCTGTAGGTTCTGAACTTTCAACAGTGCATTTTAGATGAATTCCTTATTAAGGTAGAACCAATTTATAATTGAGCTTTGCTTGACTGAAAGGCATATTTGGAGGCATATTTGGAGTTACAGGTTGAAATAATACACATTATTTCACATCTCTTTTTAATTCCTTATTTCTTGCTTCCTATAATCTTCATATTCCTTCTGTCATTTTCTTCTCATCTTTGCCAGTTCTGATCTACTTCTGTCTTTTGGTGATGTCTGTTTTGTCTTACCTTCTGCCTTCCCCTACCCCTTGAAAATCTTCAATTCTTTTTTCTTTTTCACTTTTATCCAAAACTAGAAAAAAAGTAAAAAGGATTCAAGTTAAAATGACTAAAATTTACTTACTTATATAGACACATTTGTATATGTATATTCCAACTTTTGAGATCATGATATTCAGTCTCTTCAGTTTTTCTTTTTAACATATTAAGGTGGCACTGTGTAAAAATGAAAGAGAATAAAAATTAACAATTCAGAGTTTTTTGATTAGATGATCACTAGTTCCTTTTATCATCTGAGGTCAAAGTTTAGCTGCTTCCCATTGAACAAGGTGAATGACTATAGGTTGAGAAAGGAAAGACATGATATTGACTGATCTGGGGATAAATCAAGAAATGTGACATTTCATGCATGGGTCTTTTCACTTAGAGTGCAGGGGTGTCAGTCAGAATATGCATGGTATAGGAAATCAATTGAAACTTGAGCCCATGGGCATTTACTTCAGCAAAATTCTTACTAATTATCATGGCTATGTCTGGTTAGACTGTTATAGGCATAATTTAGTTTCCAAAAGGTTGAGATTCTTTTTGTATAATTGTAAATCTCCTATTAGTGATATATAATTTATAGTTTGTCAGCTGTATTTCATATAACATCAACTATTACTTTAAGTCTTTATTAAACCAGTAAAGCCTTATGTGTTATACATGCTGCTAGTAAGCCTGAAACCTCTAACAAGTCATTTTATGTAGAAAATAGAAAGCCTGGTAAACTGTTTCAAATTGTCTTCTTTTTTCTAAAAGTAGGTTACATGTCTAATTTTTATGTTTTCTTAAGTAATACAGTAAGTGATGTTCCTTATAAGACTGTATTTTATTTTCTGAAATCCACTTTTTTGGGTGATTAGTCTTTAACTGGCTATTGAGTGATCCAACTCAGAAAAATACCTCACAGTTAGCACTTAGAGTGTTTTAACGTCAAAGATCTGGTCTCATTTTTCAGTGCTCTACATCAGGGATGTGCAAAGTAAAGACCGATGGTGCACATCCATCCTTCCAATTGTTTTTGTGAATAAAGTTTTACTGTAGCACAGCCACACCTGTTCATTTACGTATTATCTTTGGGTGCTTTTGTACTCCAAAGGCAACATTTAGTAGCTGCAACAGAGAACATACAGCAAAATCTAAAATACTATATGACTCTTTACAGAAAGCTTGCTGATCTCTGCTGTAAATAATCTAGTTGAGACTAAATTATGATGTAGTTAAGCTTTGATATCTATGACAAGTACTTCCTGAAACTTTTAAAGAAATACAAATAGAGAAATACAAATATTAGCCTTTTCTCTTTCCAGGCTCTTGTTTATATTGAAAGTTACTTGTTTGTATGTAATTTTTCAAATCTCAGATTAACTATTTGCTCATTTTCATTTAAGTTTTAGTTTTCTCTTAATGACCATTTATCACTGTACTTACAAAGGATAACCACAGAGCAAAATTGAGATCAATTATAAAGGATAGGGGCGCCTGGGTGGCTCAGTCTGTTAAGCGTCTGCCTTCGGCTCAGGTCATGATCCCAGGGTTGTGGGATCGAGTCCTGCATCTGGCTCTCTGCTCAGCAGGGAGTCTGCTTCTCCCTCTCCCTCTCCCCCTGCTTGTGCTCTCTCTCTGTCAGATAAATAAATAAAATCTTTTAAAAAATCATAAAGGATAATAATAAAGCAAAATTAAGATCCAAATAAATGCTAAGTGGTTGACTTAAACCTCATGCCCTACATGTCAGACCTGGCACACCTACCAAAACATGTTTCAAATTCACTCATCAGCAAAATGATAAATCACTATACATTTTGTACTTCTAAGGGCAATCATATACATTATTTATATCTGTAATGCTAAATCCACATGGAAAGGATATAGTATAAGCTTTGATAAGAAAATTTTATTTTAATTTTTAAAAAATTTTAGTTGGTAGCAGAGAATTTTAATTTTAGACTAAATACAACTATCTTAACCCTATCCTCTTGAAAGATATTAATTTAAAACATTCAGACTCTTCATTTCTCTCTCCTTAAAGTAATAATTCTTCTTCACCTTGCAATGCCTGAAAAAAGCTTATAGGTATCACATAGAAATTGCATACACTCTTTGTTGTGTTGATCATTTTGAATGTACAAATTAGGTATCCGCCCTACACTGTTATTTTCTTCCTAATCATATATGTAGTTCTTTGGAACAAAAGAAGGAGATTTATAACCTTGAGATCTAAACTTTGTTTTGTTTTTTTTTTTGTAAGAGTTTCCAATAATCTACTAATCTGAATGTTTAGCTTTTATGTATTTCATTTTAAATTACTGAGTTTAATAAATTAATTATTAAATTTATAAGAGCTTAAGTTGAGTCTTCTTTGGAAACTGCTGAAATTAGCTCTTTGTCTGATTTCATCTAAAAAGAACAACATTAAGGTAAATATTTCTCACTACATATGGCTTCCTTAAAAATGACATTTAGCCAACCGGTAACTGATGTTTAAATGCTAGTGCTGTTTTTCAAATACTTTTACATAAGCATCAATAAGTGTAAGAATTTTGTTATCTTATACTTTTCACTATGTTTTTTAATTGATTAAAAAAGAAATGATCATCTTCGGAGTTTTTGTAGAACAAGCTTTTATGAAGCAGGATATTTGAAAACTGTTGATTTATTTTGGGAGAAATGTGAAATGTGAATCCAAGTAGACATTACTAGTTTGAGATATATTAAGTATATATAATTCAAAATTGCTATGCCACCCTGTAAATTTATACCATTTAAGTATGTGTAGAAATAGTTTTTGATAGGGGCACCTGGGTGGTTCAATTTGTTAAGCATCTGCCTTCAGCTCAGGTCATGATCCCAGGGTCCTGGGATCAAGCGTCCCCCACCCCACTCCCCGCCACATTGGGCTCCCTGCTCAGTGGGGAGCCTGTTTCTCCCTCTCCCTTTGCTATTCCCCCTGCTTGTGCTCTCTCTCATGCTCTCTCTCAAATAAATTCTTCAAAAAAAAAAAAGTTTTTTATATATGTTTATTTTTTCCCTGTTAAAAATTCAATATTCTAAATTTCTCTTCATGAATGTAGCAATTTCATTGAACTGTGGAGTTTGGAACAATTTTGTAATAAATTTATTAAGTTTCTCTATATCTTTTTCAAGTATCCTTTTCTTTTTGTGGTAAATATTAAATCATAGGAGCCCAGAAATGGGGGGCGGGTAGAGAATATGAGAAAACAGGAACTTATATATCTAAACATTTTAGTACAATTTCAAAATAATGGAGCCATTTCTAAAATCTACATCATTTTACTAATACCCATTACAGATTTTCATTTAATTTACCCAATTTAATGGTTGCCTAAATTACATTATGGACATTTTCTAAGATATGTCATTTAGCACTTCTTTACCTTTCCTGCATTTGTTCAATTCACCAACATCAAAAAACATTTCAGTAAGCACAATGACTCTTCCAAGATAAAATACATTTATGAGAGGAACCAATTTACTTCCTTAGTCTTTAAATTGAATAATTCTATATATGTAATGAAAGAGAAAATAACATTAGTCATCTAAATACGTGGTCCAGTTTTGGTCAGCCTTTCTATGTGGTGTATTTGTTTTAACAAATAGATAGCAGCAGGAGATTTTCAGTTCAAATTTAGTGGTCATTATTTGTCTTTGCTTTTGAAGGAATATAGTTAAACTTTGCAATAAAATACTTGCCTTGTTTTATTTGTGATGAAGTCCAAAAAACCAGAGGAAATACAGTTTTTGGTAAGAAATGAAAGTCCAGGAATAAATATAATGATGAGAAGTAGTGCTTCTATCACTAGGGAACTTTCCTCATCTAAGCACATATGAACAATTGATCCTTGTAGTCATATATAGCAGTAAACATTAATAACTTAACAGTCTGAAGTCAGTGCAGAAGATATGGAGCATTATTGAAAGATGGAGTCGAGCAGGTGGCACTTTAATATGTTCAGTGTCATGGTTGACTCTAAAGACTAGTCGAATGAAATTACTTGAGGTTCTAAAGATTTAAAAAGCGAACTCATTTTGCTGCACTAAGGAAATGCTACTGATCAGGCTTTCTGTGTCCCTTTTTTCTAGGCTAGAAAATATTAACCCTGAAGAAAATGACATGGTAAGCCATTCTCTGAGGAGATTTCTTGATGTCAGTCTTATATCTTAGAGGCTTAAGTTCAATTGAGTGGGTTTCAAGAACTAAGATGTGGGAAAAAGAAGAATTGACACACTAATAATGTACATCTTTGCTGCAATATGAAAATTCAATAACTTCACTCAGTCAATTTACAATTCACATGTGCCTATTAATTAAAACCCTATATTAAATAAAATATATTAAAACTTCATGTCTGACTAACATATAATGGTGTTGGTAGACATTACAGGAATTACTGAACAGAATAAACAATGCAGACACAGGAATAGCTATTCAGAAGAATGGAGCTGTAATTGTGGATAGAATCTACAAGACCAAGGAATGTAAAAAGAGAATAACTGCAGAAGAAATGAATGCAGTGATAGAAGAGCGGGATGCTGCTTTGTCTCAGGTAACTGCATGTATCTAAAAGCATTTTCCCCCATTTCTTTACCGTTAAAAAATGACTTTTTCCCACATAGTCTTAATTCAAATTAGTTTTTAGCATATGATTAATACCACGATGATTAGATATATTAAAATAGTCACAAATTTTGTTAGACCATTCTTCAAATACATGCATCCTCATTTCTTAATAAAACTGTTAGGTTGTTATAAAAATTTAGTTATATTCAAAAAAAAAGAATTTAGTTATATTCTTTAAAGTAATCACTTTTATATGAGACTTCTTACTTGAGTCGGTTTTGTGAGGGCTGAGATTATGTCTTTATTACTGTTTTATTCCCAGTGCCTAATTCAGTGCCTTTTAGTAAACATTGATAAATGAATCAAATTATTAGTGTATTCTTTTCTGAACATTACTTACACCTTGCTGCTCTAACTGAAGCCTGATTACCTCCCTGAGGATACTGCTTCCACTGCAGTCCTCTCAAGTAGTGATTGGATTCCCTCCCACAGCAGTTATACCAGTGGGCTTAGAGGCTTGTTCTGCATTAGTGTTTTCACATCATTGGTCTTTTTTCCTCTCCAAACACCTCTAGCTTTGAAGCTCACGCATCAGATTGTACCACCCAGTAGGCATTCCCGTTACAGTCCTGTGCACACTCCAGTGTTGCTTCCCTCATTTCTTGAAGATCTTAGGATGCATTTCATTGTCTCTTTCTTTAGCCCACACTTGTGGTTTTGAATTATGAAAAACAATTCTTGGTGATTCAAATATCTGTACAGATGATTCTTTCACTGTTCTGGCCTCTCATCTTCTTGAATTTCTCTCCTCTCATCATTATGTGTTCTGCTCTACTTCTGCCATCTGCCCTATGGTCATATCCTATTTCTGACCAGCACTTACTATCTTTCCAGCTCACTTAACTCCAGAACTTTGAGTAGCAAATTTTAGCTCCACCGGCACCTATTTCTATTGATTGTACCATTTATTTTCCTATTCCCTCAATTCACTCCTGTTCCCACTTCCCCCTTTACCTCACTTAGATTCCAGGGCTCACCTAATTATTACCGATTTGCGTATAATATAACCTCAGTTCTCTTGGCCCTTTGTCCTACTCACCAAGCAAAACCTAAGCCTTATATATTTAACTTTCTGCCTGATCTGCACCTTCATAGTTTTATATGGCAGAAGGATATCACACAGATTTGCCATTTAACCTTTAAATTCATGACCATTGTCTTCAGGTAGGCCCTTGGTGTTGCCTGGCATTTTTCTGGCCTTTTGTTAGTCCATTCAACTTTCCCCTGTAAAGGACTATTTTATCTCCCTTCTTGCTCCTTAGATATCCAACCTCTCATCTCCAATATAAAAAGCAACTTCCGCTTTTCCCCACCATTTCACCCATCAGCCTACGTGCATTTGTACTCATATACTCTGCCTTTTGTATTTTATTTCTTACCTAGTTCATGCCCTTGTTTAAGGACAGCGTATTTCTATACTAGTTCTTGTCTTTTCTTGCGTAAGGTTATCACTAATCAATTGCCCCTTTTCTCTCCTACTTCATAGAATGTTTCCTATTAGTTCATTTTTATCACTCTCTAAAATGCTTTACTATCTCCCGTGGAGGCTGGATAGAAGTTTGGTAAGTCTTGGTCTACTTGTGGCTCAGCCTGGTACTTTTGGTAAGGCTTCCCACACAGAGCTGATATTCAGTAGGACCCTACTCCTGGCAAAGCTTGTACTCTGGCGTTTATGTCCTCAGCATTGTAAGAAAACTCCATTATGGAGTGGAAAACTCCATTATGCTTTTCAGAGGTTTTAGGGCTTAGCTTTTTAATTTCAAGCCCTGTACACGTTTGGGATTTATCAAATGATTTGAGATAGAAACAAGTCTCAAATCTCCCAATTTTGTCACTTCAGCCTTGCATAGCTACCAAAAGCTTCGATGATTTCTCTGTCCTCCAACACGAGCCCTCTGTGCAGTCAAAGCCTGGCTTCCCAGCCCCTTGCCCAGGCCTGGAATCTTTAAAACTCAGGGGGAAAAAATGCCTGCAGATCTGCAAAGCACCCTCTTCAGGATCTTAGCCACTCAACTCATTGTTGCAGCCATAGCCTGCTGACATCTTTAAACTGGATTTTTAAATTTAACCTGGCTTTTCTTGTTTTTGGCTGGAGCACTGTTTTGCCACAAATGATTTCATCCTATCTGGGTGTGGAGAACTGACATTTATCTTCAGGTTAGATTTGGAAAAAGTCCTTCTAAAATGAGCAACTGTTTTTACCATTTTGTGTCCTACCAACAGTATGCAATCTTGAGTCATTCAATATATTGTTGAAGAGATAGACAAAACAGTTTTTAGTGCTTGGAAGCAATTACAGTGTGAACTCAAACATTTGATTTTTTTTATCATTTATTTTCTTACGTTAACTAAAAATAAGTATATAGAGCGTAATTAAATATTGACTGCTACCCATTCCTTCTTTTTCTCTATCCTTTGCCTGCTGCCTTTCATGATACATAAAGATAAAGAAATCAACATTTGGCAGTATTTACCAACATCTCTTTATTTATAAATATATATTATCCATCATTGCAGTATATTTATTATTTATCTATTGCATGTCTTATGTTTTATGAAGAGTCGTTTATTTAATTATTTTAATTTGCATAGTTTTCAAACTCTCTGCCTAAGTAGTATTCATTTTAATTTTTATGTCATAATCATTCTAAAAATGAACTCTTGAATTACTGTCTTATAGTTCTGAATGGAAACTTTTTCCTTAATTTTTTAAAATAGACTTTATTTTGGCACAGTTTTAGATTTGCAGGAAGGTAGTATAGTATGGAGTCCCCCTACACCTTTGACCCAGTTTTGGTTTGCCCTGCCTTTGCCATTGCTCCTGACTGTAGTAATTTTGTCAAAATTAAAAAACCCTCATTGGTAGATTACTATTGACTCCAGACATTATTCAGATTTTTACCAGTTTTCCATTAAAGTCCTCTTCAAGATTCAATCCAAGACACCACATTGCATTTAGTTGTCAGGTCTCTCCAGTCTCCTCTAGTCTGTAACAGCTTAGGACTCCTTTCCCTCCCCCCGCTTTAAGACCTTGACAGTTTTGAGGGTATTAGCCAGATATTCTGTGGAATGTCTCTGAATTTGGGTTTATCTGATGATTTTCTTATGATTAAGCTGAGATTTTGAGTTTTGGGGAAGAATTTCATAGAAATTTGACCTTAATTTTAGAGCTGCTATTTGGCATCAAATGTTTTCTAATTAAACTGTATCTTCTGTGTACTGCTAGGGTTACCTTAGTCCCATTCTATGTAGCTATTAGAAATCTTTGGATTCAGTGAGAATTTCTTGATTATTATACATTTGCTAATTTACTTTGTTTTTCAAATCAAGTTAAGATCATTTATTTACTTGAACTGGCCTTGTTAAAATCTTATCTTTTTCTGATAAATCCTAATACTCTTACTTACTCAAATTCTTCTCCCATAACTTTTCTATGTCAAGCTGAGAACTGAGTGCCTTAAAATCTTTTATAGGATGAATTAAAATTGTTATAATTAGCATTTGTTTGATTAAAGAATTGTCTTACCAACCAGTGTTTCATTCTTTCTTACCATTTTTGACCCATTAATGCTCATATAGTTTATTTAAATTACAGAAATACTTGGTAATATGGGATAAAGCTAGAAACTTCCATTTCTTCACTAACTTTTCTGGGATCTTAAGTTTCATAGCACTCTAGAAGCTATCTAGTTAAACTACCCAGTAAATTGAGGAATCTTATCTATGACTAATTTTCAATTTAGTTAAATATTCATTTCTTATAAAATCTTTAAAAAAAAAAAAGGGGTGCATGGGTGGCTCAGTTGGTTAAATATTCATTTCTTCTTCATGTCTTGCTTTTGGTACTCACTTTGGCCTCAGAACATTTGACTGATAAATTATATTGCATCAAATATATTTGAATATCTACATGAGCAATAATGTCCTAATTCATACAGCTAGTCTTGAAGGCACAATTGGATCCAGGCTAGACACCAATAAGCAACAGAAGAATAGAACTGGCCAGGATTGGCAACTCATTAGCTTTGAGGCCTGACCTTATTACAAGCTAGAGTAATTCAAATAATCATTTGTATTAGTTAGGGTTCTCCAGGAAAACAGAACCAATAAGATATATATAAACAGATTTACTGTAAAGAACTGGCTCATGTGATTATGGAGGCTGAGGAGCTCAAGATCTTCGGTCAGTAAGCTAGATACCCAGGAGAACCAATGGTGTAATACCAGTCTGAGTCTGAAGGCCTGAGAAACCAGGAGAACTGATGATGTAAGTTCTAGTCCAATTCCAAGTCTGAAAGCAAGAAAAGACCAATATCTCAGTTTAAAGACAATCAGAGAGAAGGAATTCTTCCTTACTCAACCTTTTATTCTGTTCAGGCTTCCAAATGGATTGAATGTGGAGGCCCACTCACACTGGGGAGGGCAGTCTGTTTTGTTCAGTCCACTGATTCAGATGTTAATCTCATCCAGAAATATCCTCACAGACACACCCAGAAGTAATGCTAATCAAATATCTGGACCCTAGTCAAGTTTTCATATAAAATTAACAGTTAACACCATTCCTAGGGGTCCTGGCTAAATTAGGCTAGTTTAGGCTAGTTTTGATTTCCAAGGGCAGGCATAGATATGGGTGGGGCCTAGCAGCAGGAAGCTGGGCCTCATTGATACTTGTAGTTGGTAGGATAATATTGCAGAGATTTTCATTGATTGGACCCCAGCTGGTACCTGGTATGTAGGTGAGGGGCCCAATCCTGAGAACTGAATAAATTAGGCATGGGTATGGAGGTTGGGAGATGGACTTTGGCCAAATGGGCCAGGGGCATTGATAAAATATATTCAAAACACCAAAGCAGAGGACTTGTCATAAAGACTTAGAGTATAGCAAATAAAGGAAGAAAGTGGTAAATTCTCTATGTACATGGGTGT